TAGTGCCAAACTGCTCATGGTAGGAATTGTTGGGTCTCTGTAAATAATTTTATAAGGAGTACATTCTATATATATGAAAAGTGTCCTGAGATAACCTCTGCAATGAATTGGCGCAATACCAATAAAATTTTATTAAAATTTAAATGAATTTAAAGGACCACATGCTGCGTTCTAAGTTGTAACTTAACTTAAAAAATACTTAACTTAACAGTAAATACTCTGTAAAAGTGAGAAAATAAGACTGTAAACAAAATTCTCATATGTAGGTTTGAGGCAGAGATGAGCATCAGCCTAAAACTCTGCATGAATTAGTTAGAAGGTAGTGAACCATTAGAGTGACTAATCAGCAGTGAAGGCAGTTGGTGAGCAGCAGTTCTGCGATCGGCTGTCCAGCCTAGAGAATCAGTTATTTTCACCACACAGTCTGACAACAGAAGTCCAAAGCAAAATTTTACAGTGCCAGTTTGTTTTTTTTTAATCAAGCAAATTCTCAGTTTATATTCCAGAGTGGAGATGTGTTAAACACATTTGCAGTGGTGTGAAAGTGTCTGGTTTGCTTTCAGCCCTTCTTATTTGGATTACAAACACGAAACTACTGACAACTCATTTCCTCTCAAGCAGCCATGGAACATATGCATGTCTGCTTTCTGTTTTCTTTGTGGTGTGTTCAAGCGCAACATGTAATGAAAAGATGTTAGGCAGTGTAAAAGTTTACGTAATTCTTTGTTAGTGTTACTTGTCTGAAGTGGAGTACAATCTCTATCAGTTTTTTCTTGCTGAAAATGGATGTGTGTGTCTTCTTTTTCCTTTTCCAGCATGACTGCCACCCTGGCCAGTGTTGGAGCTGCGAGTATTCCCAGTGCTGGACTGGTTACCATGCTGCTGATCCTTACAGCTGTGGGCCTACCTACTCAGGACATCAGTCTGCTCATCGCTGTCGACTGGCTGCTGTGAGTCAGGTGTCTGATAGGTGGAGCGTGTATTTTGTGAGAGGGGTTGTTAAGATATTGGTGATATTGGTGTATTCAGCTCTTGGTGGCTCTCATCTATTTCACCCGCTGACACTGATACTATTTATCCACCCAGTGACAGAATGCGTACCTCCATCAATGTGGTGGGCGACTCATTCGGTGCCGGGATCGTGGACCACTTGTCGAAGGATGAACTTGCCGAACTTGACGCGGCAGATATGCAAATTCTCCCACCAGAGGAGGAGCTCGATTTCATCCCTCCACCCCCGATCCTTACAGAGATGGACCTGGTCGACCCTTTCAAACCGCCCGAGCTGCCACCTCGCTCCCCTCGCCCACCCAAACAAAACCACCACGGTCACGCTCTCTCCCAGTCCTCTGTCACTTACTCACCGTCCCGCTCTATCCGATCTCCATCACCTCGCTCCATCCGCTCTCCCTCTCCGCGCTCCGTCTGCTCCCATTCCCCTCGACCTTTCCGTACTCATTCACCACGCCTCCTCCGCAGGACGGAGCCGGGCTACTGCGCCCTGCCCAGCCATGATAACCAGGTATCTACCCACTGCTGCTTCTTCTGGTTCTAATGCTACAGAATACATGTTCCTCTATGATAGAACTACTGTAAAATTGGATTGAAGAGATACACCAGGTTTATGGAGATTGAAGATTGGCCTGATGGTCAACTTATCAGTTAAGTTAGGAGGAGACATACATCATCCATGTATCTTCAGGGCATTCAGAAGATACAGTGTGTTGAATAAGAAAACACTGTGGGTTTCAAAGGTCACCTATTTCTAAGTCTACATTTCAAAACAATGTATTTGGCTGTATCAACACTGTCACCAATACTGTCATTTTCAAGGACCCACTCAATGGATTCACATTAGACTGCCTGTCTTAAGAAATCCCCTCTGAGTAACTTTTTATTTAAAGTCTTCATAGTCAATCAAAGATCAATCTAGGATCACTGTAAATCCTAGATTGAATCAAAATTTGATTCCAGCTTTCAAAAAATGTGATAAAAAGTATTCTATTTTTCATTTTGCTGGGGACCCACAAAAGGACCCCTGTTGGTCCCCAGACCCCAGTTTGAAAACCACTGCTCTTGCACCTTAGCATAGCTCCTTCGAAGGAGAAAATAACAAAAGTGTGGTTTCTCACCTGAGATAGTTCCACAAATAATGACTAATTGAGCTTTATTGAATATATACTTCATTATTATGTCTTTAATTTACTATCGCTTAGCATGCAGTGTCGAATAGGGATACATGGATGATTTAGTTCTATGTTCTCAAGTAAAATGATCAGAGCACGATATCTCCAAACCCTGGTGTATTCCTTTAACATTTAGCACATATACATGTGTAAAATTCACCTTTCTTTAGTCAATACAAGCCACATGGTTTGCATGTTCTCATCCTGTCTCTTTGTCCTCTCAGATTCCCACACTGCCTCACTCCTACCGAGAGAGAGACAGGGAACGGGAGAGGCTGAGGCGAGAGAGTGAAACAGAGGAGGACGAGGAGAGAGAGAGGGTTCTGGGTGAAGTAAGCGACGGCGAGGAGAGCGATGACACTGCTTATGATCGGAGGCACGTCCTCCCACCACCCGACTTGCCGTGATTGGATTTTAGCACAGAAAAGCTTCCTTGTCGATTAGTTTCCGTTGTACGACGGCTTTCCCCACTTTAATGCACAGCTCCACAGGGTTCCAGTGGAGCTTCACAGTGGATTTCTGGCTGGTTACATTTCTACTTCTTAGATGTATTTTAAATTCACTGCTCTTGATTAACAGAACTGTTGAATAAGTGATTGATACATTTACTTAGAGCTTAATATGCATAGATATTAAAAATGTTGCGATGGCAGGTCTGAGACTTTTGCTCTTTGGTTTCCTGCGAAAGAGAGCTTAAAGAGAGTTTTTTCCCTTGTTTACTCATTACCTTTTTATAACATGTCTGTCTTGATTTGTCATATCTTAACTAAATTTAAAATACCTCTGTATGTCTGAACTTCCTTCAGTTTGTTTGATAGGGGAGAAAATCTCCTCTTGATAAAGAAAAGTAGCTTGGTGTCAAGGCCACCTTTTTTACCAGCCTTTTAACGCACAACCAGGAGTTATTAGTTGATCCTTTACCTCAACTCTTTCTACTTATATTTTCCTAGCAGGAGGGGAAAAGTATTAAACTTAAAGCAATTGTTAGACATTTAGAAATATGCTTATTCGTCTTCTTGCAGAAAGTTAGATGAGAAACTTGTGTGTTACAGTAAAGGTAACAGTTTGCCACGTTATAGCCTGTTTGTTTAATTGATACAAAAACCAGCGTAATGAGGACAATTTGACGTTTAATAGGATGTGATGTGCTGGGCTATTTCTTGGTTACTTCAGTTTTTGTGTGAATTAAACAAGCAAAAACCGGTTAACCGGTGAGTGCTGGTTGGCGGATTTAGTTATCTTTGGGCCATGCCAGGCTAGCTGTTGCCCCTGTTTCAAGTCTTGACTCGAAAGAGATAGTGTTCTTCTCATTTGCCTCTTGGAAAGAAAGCCGATAAGCGTATTTCCCAAAATGTCAAACCATTCCTTTAAAAGACCTTAAAAACAGGTTCATCTAAAAAAACAAATATACAATTATAAAAAATAATAATAATAATAATAATGTCTGATTATTTTATAATCAACAGAACTGTTGAATAAGTGATTGATATGTTTACTTAGAGCTTAATATGCATAGATATTAAAATGATGAGATGGCAGGCCTGAGACTTTTGCTCTTTGGTTTCCTGCCAAAGAGAACTTAAATGGAGAGTTTTTTCTTGGTTTACTCATTTCATTACAGAAAGTCTGCTCTTGATAAAGAAAAGTAGCTTGGTGTTGAGCCCACCTTTTTACCAGCCTTTTAACGCACAACCACGAGTTATTAGTTGATCCTTTACCTCAACTCTTTCTACTTATATTTTCATGGCAGTAGGGGGAAAGTTTCACATTTAGAAATACGCTTATTTATTATTTTTTTGCCAAGAGTTAGATGAGAAACTGGATGTTACAGTAAAGCTCACTGTTTGCCACGTTATAGCTCGTTTGTTAAATTGATACCAAAAGCAGTGTGATAAGGACAATTTGACATTTAATAGGATGTGATGTGCTGGGCTATTTTCATTACAGAGAAATAGTCTAGCATATAAATGTCTGTAAAACCACAACTTGTTGTATTTACACTTTGATTCTTTGTGTGAATTAAACAAGCAAAATACACCATGTTAACCGGTGAGTGCTGGTTGGCGGATTTTGTTATCTTTGGGCCGAGCCAGGCTAGCTGTTGCCCCTGTTTCAAGTCTTGACTCGAAAGAGATAGTGTTCTTCTCATTTGATTCTTGGAAAGAAAGCTGATAAGCGTATTTCCCAAAATGTCAAACCATTCCTTTAAATGACCTCAAAAACAACAACAGGTTCATGTAAAAAAACAAAACAAATATACAACCAGCAGACATTATTTTTATAATTCTCTACCTTCTTGCGTCTCTTGACATTTTCACCCTCGGTGCTCTTCTCGCACATAACCTCATTTTCCTCCGACAGCGGTCACTCTTGATGTTAATATTGTCTATATTATCTATGGTTTGTATTTTCTTGTTGTGGTCTGGTGTCTGAAATGATGAGCAATAGGCAAGATGGTGTTTTGATTTTGTGGTATGTTTAAATTTACTAGTCCTTGATTGCTGTAAAATAACTTCATCAGTCTCTTCTTCCCCACTCAATTGCCTTTCATTTTAAATATAAGTTCATCGACTGCCTCCCTACATCCTTAGGTCTTCAATCAGATTCACAGGTCCAGGTCATGTGTATATTGTATGTAATAAAATCTTAGAGATTTATTTAAAATAACTGCAATTCTTTTGTGTTTTCTCTGATCCTTAAGTAACTTGAACAATCTGCGGAGGGATTTGCAGTCGAAAGGGGACACACGTCAGTGTTTGGTGACTAAAGACTCAGGAAAAATCCCGCAGACAAAGATATCACTGGATGGAAAAGTTGCAACAGACACACAGACAAAATGCACACGTTACACACGAGGCTGCGCTTACACATTGATGAGATAAAGAGATACCAGCACACTTAATCCTCTCAAAGAAGAGTTAGAGATGGGCAAGGCAGGAGAGAGTGAGGGATGGGAGAGGAATCGGAGGGCAGCAGATGGCCAGAAAGACGTCAATCCTTTTCATTCTTCCCAGACAGCATAAGGGCGCTGTGAGTAATTGCAAGCAGGACTGACATTAGCTTCGGGTCCCTGCACGTCAGAGGGGAGAGTCGAGTTAGGTAAAAGGGAAAAGGTGAAATGCTGCAGGTCAGTGCTCAGCAGAAATTCAAAAATCTGACAGGGTATCGAGGTTTGTTTGAAAATGTGTCAAATTCTAATTAGTGATGATTGAGTTGACGTTCTGGCTGCTGGTGTCTGAAATGAAACACTAATCTGTCCTGTAGCATGAGAGAGAGCTGCCCCTCCAACACATGACCTGAGGATATCACACCATCTGAGGCGACGGGGGGTCAGCAATTTAATCACTGCAGCTATCATCATCGAGAAGACAGAGTGTATGTGTGTGTGTGTGTGTGTGTGTGTGGGGGGGGGCATTATCTGCTCCAAAACTCGGTCCATTCTCTTTACTTTGGCTCAACTCAGACATACTCTTGAGTATTTGGTTGTTATCGCTGCTAACAAATGTAAATCTGACACCAAGAGTGTTAGAAAGATAAACACAAAACTGATGGTGGTATTAAGAAACTTAATTTACTTTGATTTATTGGTTGGATTTCTAATATAAATAACAGCAATACATTAAATAGATTTGTAAAAATGTCTACGGCTAAAGTTTTTGTTGATAAACAATAGGTGCTAAAAAAGGTATACATTTTAGTTATATCAATTGAAATATATATTAAATAACAGTTTCTGAAGATTTAGGTAAAACCAGATTAAAATCAATTGCAAGTTTCTCAACAATCTAAGATTGAGGGCTGCAACTAACAATTTCCTTTATCGATGAATCTGTTATTTTACTGATTTATCATTAAATATCTGAAAAGAAAGGAAAAATGTCCATGGACACGGACTCCATAACGCAGAAATATACAATTTAAAAAGATATAAAAATGTTGAAAAGCAGCAAATCCTCAGTATGGAGAATATTATCATAATATTATCAATAGTTGGCTTTTTTATCATGTTATTTATTTATAACTAATTGTTTTGTTTTATAACATAAAATGAAATTTTGATTGATTGACTGGTGGAAAACTGTGTAATGTAATGTTTGCCACATGATGAAGATAACTGCAAAAGTAGGAAACGAAACGACTTAGCAAATAACACGGTGTACTGAAAAGCACGCATTTTTTAACATACGTAGTATTGGCCTGATGTCAAATACCTGATGCAATCACAGTACAAGCTTAACTCCTACCAGCTTGATATAATAAGTGTATAATAAATTATTTAATTCTGTGGGTGTGTAACCCATTCAGAAATAGTGTGTGTAATTTTTTCCTCACTACCCCATAAACTAAGACATGTCTTTGTTTTGGATAACATGGAATGAAAATAAGTCATCTGGATCATATGAACACAATCATTTCAAGAGGAAAAATGTTGCGTTTGGTTACTCCAAAGTCTTTTATTTCATATTATTGTAAATCAAACCCAGTGGCAGCAGGAGGGAGACAGATGTCCTGGTTTGTGCAGTGGTTTTAAAACACAGTCTGACATCTAGAGGCAGGATCACTCATCACATGAAGCAGAGGGCAACAGACGTAGCCTATACCACACAATCTGTACCCACTCGTCTGTGTGACTTTTTCAGAGCTTTTCTGACCATAATACTGTGTACAGGAACTGCAGTATCCAGTATGCACCACCCTCTAATAATACTGTATACACACCTCTTGATGCTTTTAAAATGTTGTTTAGATTTGAGCACACACATTCATATTCATTTACATTCTCCCTGAGTCGCTGTATAGGGAGTCGTGAAAGAAATTCAGAAATCCATGACATGAGTGATTAAATATGATCTTTATTAAATAAAGTGAGACATATATATATATATATATATATATATATATATATACATCTGTCCTTAGAATATGTGCATGTCACACTACGTTCACACAGTCAAAACAACTTAGAAAAGTATGTTATCATCTTATCATCACATTTTTAAAGATAAAACTATATACAAAATCCTGTTGTTTTAAGAAGTAAAAATTTAATAAACCTTTAGGCTTGAAAATGCTCTTTAATGGCTGCAGTCAGCTTGAATTTGTGTAACTTACAACAAGAATTGATTTTAAAAAATCTCCCTAAAAACACTCAAATATAACAAATTTCTCTGTTGATTATACATATTGTCAGTATCCGCCAAATACCTTGGGGTTTTGACAAAATATGTCTAAAAACATATCTTTCATATTGTGCCACTGACCTCCTGCTGGAATTATGAAACACACAACCCATTGAATGAAACACCTGGCTCAAAAATGTGTCTGCAACTAGACATATTAAATGGTGGCTGTCTCAATAGAAACCTTATAGTGGTTGACAAATCTGTATCCTCTCTTTTTACTGTGATATATTCTGTTAGGAACATAATGTGCATACAGATGGACAGCAGGAGGATTAATTCACAGAACTGGTCTGAGAATTAGGCTATCCGTGAAGAGTTCGATGACTTCTGCAGTAAAATCTTGTTACAATTGGAATTTGCTGCAACATTTCAGTCGGAGACAAATCAAAGATCATCAAAGAATATGCAATTTATAGCAAATTGTCACACAGTTTGGCAAAAAAGTCTCTGCTCATTGTGGGAGCTCTCACTGAATCCACAATGAGGACTCTGATGGAAGAACTAATCCAATAAACACATACATGAACATGAATTTGTAGTAAAATCAGAAATATGAAAAACATAACACATAAGGAGCAGGTAGGGGTAGTAAAGGCATATTAAATTAACAGAGAAGTGTGAGAAGCTTTGTAAAGGCTGGGCTGCAGCTCTGCATGAATCTAATTCGACACTGATAGTCAGCTGGTAGTCAAACAGCCGATGAATGAGTCAGTAGTATACACTCCATTCAAGCTGACCACGGCTGCTTTCTCCATTAAGAGGAAACTACAAATCTTTTACAGCCACCTTTCAAACCTACAGATGGTGAACAATTGATACTCAAAAGACAAGGGTTTGATATCACTTTAATCTAGTCAATTTTATTTTACTTATATAGCCTAATACCACAAAACACAGATTTGCCTTGTGGGGCTTTACAGTCTGCATATGACACCTTCTATCCTCAGACCCTCGCTTTGGATAAGAAAAACTCCCCAACGTTTTACAACGTTTACAGTGGTGTCGCCTCAGACCGCCAGAGGACTTTGCTTCAGTCACAGGGCTCTGTACTTTGGTCTCACCACTGGGACAGAAATGTCAGCTGGCCCTAAGCTATACCGTCTCTGACCTGATATCAACTTTCTCCATACATGTTTTCCAGGCTGTATCTGTTACACTATGTAGCTATGTAACATACAAACTGACTCTGGAGCAACTACATGAACATGTCTGCA